AAACGATGATTCTTAAATTCTCTCGAAAAACTATTTAAGACGCAAATTTGCTACACACACTTCGTTTCAAGCCGAACATTCGGGACTTGATTTAATTTTTCAACTGTACTCGAGGATGATTGAATACAAGATTGCTCTGTCCTGGCGGCGATGTCATTTCTTAAGTAAAAGTAAACAAAGCCGAATAGGAGGATTAGAGAAACTGTCTAAGCAATCAATTTTCTTAAAGTTAATTTTTTTGATAGGAAACGTGGTTTAATTGTGTTAAATGGTAAAAATATATGATTTATAAAAAGAATTAAAAACAGAAAATGATAAAAACGGTAATTTTTGTGAAAGTATTAGTGAATTTAAAGTTTCTTGGGCGTTGTTTACTATTAGGCTTAATATCCAGCTATCAAAAAAGGAAAAACTACATAAAAAACGCTCAAGAATTACCGAAGAAGTTTTCTTGAGTCAAATTTCCCTAGGGCGGTACGCAGTTCTTAAGAAATTTCCTACGCTTTCTACTATGGGTTTCTACAGCTTTTTGTAAAAATGAGCTCAAGGCAATCCATGTTTTTATTTTCAATATAAGTTTTTATTTTTTTTTATGTCCGTTCCATTATTTCGTGAGGAAGAGTGAGACAGCAGACTGTGAAATATCAGATGTCAAAATTCCTTGGATTCACACAATTAGTTTCTAGCTCTTAAGAAATCGGTAAAAAAAAATGCCGTTATTTCGTTTATGAGTCCAAGGAATTTTGACATCTGATATTTCACAGCCTGCTGTCGCACCCTTTCTTCACGAAATAATGAAAAGTTTTGAAAAATAATCGATTCTCAAATCTTATTTAATCCTTACGATTCTTAGAATCGTATAATCGACGGCGAGATTCGAATTCTTCGATTCTAATCGATTCTTTATTTCAATCTTTCTTTCACTTGAAAAATCGATAAGAAGGACCAATTATACAGACATTAATCATAGATAATAATGCTATTATGATGGATCAATTAAAATTATTGTAACAAGAGTTTTAACAATAAGTTTGTGGAAAAATTGCTTCATCTTTTTATATATAAACATAAGTGCACGTTTTTGGTGTTACCTTAACTTGACGGCTAAACGGCTTCACCGAATTCAACAAAATGTATTCGGGCTACAGATGCAGATGGTTTATGTGAAGTTTTCTCAAATTCGGAAAAGGGGACGTGGCACCTCTAATCTTATATATAAAAATAAGTTTGTTAGCTTATAACTTGAGAACGGCAGATTGTTTGTGTGAGGTTTGCCCACATTTGGAAAACGGGGTGTGGCACCTATATCTGATATATAAAAATAAGTACACATTTTTGGTGTTAGCTTATAACTTTAAAACGGCATCACCGAATTCAACCCAATTTATACGGCATATTTGGGCTATCATGCCGATGGTTTATGTGGATTTTTCCCGAATTCGAAAAGAAGGGCGTGGAACCTCTATCCATACTCATAGAGCAAAATTGGCGGTTTTGGAAAAGGGACCGTGGCACTTACCATCTATGCCTATATATATAAATGTTATGTTCGTTTGTAACAGTCATCAAAACTCGAGAACGACTGAACCGATAATTTTTTTTTTGTATTGTTCAGTATAATACCAGGAAAATTTATATCACAAAAAAAATTTAAACTTAATTATATTGATAACTTAAATGAAATATTAAAATTTGGGTATCAAATTAAGGAAATTTAAGAACGATGACTGTAGGAAATGACACAAACGACAATAACGCAAAATTTGCTTTATTTCACTTTTAAATGGGAAATAATACCAAACTCTGACAAATTTTGCCTTATTTCCCATTGTTTATTAATACTATTTATAACAAAAACAGTCTAACAAAATATAGGGAAAGCGTCGTCTTTAATAACTGATCGGCAAATTGGACTAATTCTTACAAATCCGTCCATTTAACTTGTTCACTCAATTCTTAATTTTAAAAGTTGCTCTTATTGCTCAACGAGAAATGTAATAAAGCAAATTTGTGTTATTTCACATTCAACTGGGAAATAACACTAATTTGCCTCATTGCCGTTTGTGTTATTTGGGCTTGAACCCAAACGCTCCGGAGTGGAAGCGCGCACGGCTTACAACTACACCACAGCGGAAATTGAGAATAGGAATGCCAATTATCATGGTGCGGAATATTAATAAACCAAAACTCTGCAACGGAACGCGACTTGCAGTTAAGAGATTGATGAAGAACAAAGTGGAAGAAAATATTTTAACGTGGTCTTTCATCCGCATCCCTCGAATGCCCATGATTCCTACCGATACACCATTTCAGTTTAAAATATTGCAATTCCCAATTCAATTGGCGTTCGCAATCACAGTCAATAAAACTCAAAGTCATTCTTTAGAAAATGTGGTTTAGATTTATAAGGGGATTGCTTCTCACATGGACAACTGTATGTTGCGTGCTCCGGTGTCGGCAAACCAGATGGCCTTGATATCTACGCAGAGAATGGAAAAACGAAAAATATTGTGTATTTGGGTCATTCCATCGAAAAGAGCAAAACGACGTAAATTTAAATATGCCCTAATTATGTCTAGTTCTGTAGTAACCTCTTTTTAAATGACTACATTTCATTAACCTGTGGGAAAATATTAAAAAACAAATCTAAAGAAGTTGTAATTTTTGTGTATGGAAACTTTTATTTCATTCATAATTACTTTACAGCAATCACAAGGAGATGTTCCACCAGCCACAACTTTTTTAATATTTCTATGAAGATTATGTAAATTTCATTTTTATTGAAAACGAAAACGGATAATTCATATTTTACAACACAAATACATGGTTCCTAAAAATTAATGACCTTATTCATACAAAATAAAGTAGGTTTAAAGAGCTTTATAAAGTGACGCTTTCATACATTTTCCAATTTGTAAACCTTTTTTAAAGCTACTTAATTTTTTATGAATAAGGGAGTAAGTGTTTTGACTAAAATTCATCTTTGAGTGCACAAGGGTAAAATAGAGTTCTGTTCAATGTACTACTAGTCACATTCATTCAAATAATAGTTACATAAAACTAAGAAATCGTTTGATATTTTTGATAAAGCAATTTTATACATTAGTTATCGTTCTATGCTAAAAAATAACTTTCGTTGTGGTATAAGTTCCGACGACATATGTAGCTAAAATTCAGAATGGAGTACATTCTGGAGTAAAATGTCCCACTGGTCACAATGGAATGGCCCATATGCAAGTAGTTAATGCAAAATCAAACTTATATGAAACGTATGCTTTGTTTCGTTAATCATTTGTCATTCATGTAACAGGAATATGCCACAGCAAAGCGTGGCAAGGTACAGATAGTTTGCTATAAAATGTGTGATTGAAACATATTCACGATACTATTTTCCTTTTCATAAATTTATTTCTAGCATCTCTATGAATATGCGCCAACTAGTCATACTTAATATTTATCTTAATCATGCCAGAAATATCACAATTCTAACAACTGACGTGCATTTAAAGATGTATGATGTATTCTCGATCGATCCCGAAAATTTTGAATCGATTCTCTCAAATCGATTATTTCGAGAAGATCTTCGATTCCGGAATGGAATCGGAATCAATTTTCCATCACTAATGGAACGAGCACATATTTCTGTTGTAAACATGGAATTGAGAATTGTCAAAAAATTGCAACATCAAACTAGCGGTACCATTTTGTAATTACCTTGTTGCTAAAAGCTCAGTTAGTGTAGACTTAATATTTTGGCCAACTGGCGGTTAGTCAAAAGTAAACTCATTGTAAGAAACTTAAGAACATGTAGATATTTCTAAGTTACGACCTTACACACATTGATAGCGGTGAGGATCTGTGTTGGTAGGCCCTAAAAATAAATGTATGCAAACTTTTTTACGTATGATTTTTTTGTGGCAATATAGGCGTCGAACTGTCAAACAGCTAAAAGTATTTTCCGTACTTTGCTCAAGATGAGGTGATGAGTTATCACGGACAAATTTCATACGGAAAGTTAAATAAAGTTAAACTAGCCGAGCTTTGAAATTGCTTGATTTTCGAAAACAGCAAAATTGCACAATAAATAAATACGGGTTTTATATACTCAAACTGTATGCAATAGCTACCGCTATTCTTTATCTTCTTTCTCGATTATATTGTGAAATTCTAACATCCGAACCCAGAAAGCTCATTAAATTATTTCGAATGATACGTTAACTATTAATTTTAATTGTATTAATTAGTTAAAGAGTTAAGGAAAAATTTAAGGACCCCCCAAATTCTGCCCTTTTTATATATGTAGCATCATTTGCTTTTATTCATTAAGACAATTATTTGATTTTTATTATTTTGTTTTCTTCTAGCCAATAAATAAAAATTAATTTTGTTTTTCTAGTGATGTTAAAAAATCATATGTATCACAGGAATCATTTTGGTCTTATTAATTAATGGGCTTCGGCCAGAAACTCTGGTATTAAATGTTTGCAAAACCGGCTTTGAAAAAACCGAGTTCCCAATTTTCAATTTGAGAAAACCACAAGCACAATGCAATTAGTAACAATAACCACCTGGTCTGCAGCCAATTAAAATGAGCGGTGTTGTTTTCATCAACGGTATCATTGTGACATCGCTCGACGTTATGCGTGTTTTATCAGTTGGACCCATTCACAGAACGGACGGAGATGTACTTATTCTGACAACTCCAATAGTCATGCGATGAGTTTTGTCATTTGTGTGGAAATGAGGCTGTTAGTACAAGGTCTTCACTTAAACTTCAAATACAAGTCAGCGCGGGTTATCGTCAGAATACAACAATTAAACTTTATATGCAATATATTTACATACGTGCATACGTTATTTATGCTAAAAGAAATATATATATATATAACGGCATATTTATCGAATTTTACAAATAGCCTATCTTCTAATGGGACACTCTAATGTACATTTCTAGATAATGCATGATTAAAATAACATTCATATCACATTTAAAACGTTACCTTTAATAAAAACTGGTAATCATTTATTCGTTGAATTGGCAATTTTAAGTGTTCGCTCAAAGTTTTGTCGTCTCCAGTTAAACTAGATATTTGCTAAAAGTAAAAATACAAACTGATGTTAGGACTTAAAAAAAATGACTTCGTTGCTATGAGTGATGAAGTTTTTCTTACAATTTTAGTTCGTATGATACCGCTTATAGCTACAATTGTATATGTATTAGGCATGTTAGTTTTTTTAGATTTTTTCGATGCCGGGATGTTCGGGATCTCGTTTATACAATCCAGGAATTAGTCGCGGGATTTAGATATTCATAATTTTTCAACAACTTAACACAACAAAATTGCATCAATATTGTTTGAGAAGATTTTCTGCGCTATAATAAAAAAATGGGTTTGAAACCTACTTTCTTATTTAAAGTGAAAATTTCTCATTACTAACAAAACAAAATACAGTGAATAAATTTATACGCATTTAATAATACTTAAACTTGTACGTATCTGATAAAGTAACTGAAGATATGTCGAATAAAGCTCGATGCAAAAAAACTCAAGTCAACAAATGTATTTGTGGTTGAAATAAGCTCATAATACTAGTGGCAGAAAAAAAACGCCTTATTTCAAACAGTTTTGTTTATATTACTTTTTTTATTTAATATTTACAATTTTTTTATAAAAGTCTACCTTATTTTACATAGAATCAAAATTTGCTCAAAAATTATAAAAATTCAAAAAATATTTACCAAAATTTCAAAATATTTATTCAGAGTTTTTAGAAAAATTTAAGGTATGCAGCTTTATAGCCTATTAAATTATAACAGGATAAGGTGCACGTTTCAAGAAGCTACAAAGTACCGTTGATTTTTTGGATTTTTTTTACGATGCTGGGCATTTTCTTCCACATAAAAGAATTTTCGAACATACTTTTATGGAAGGAAATGCGTGACACCCCCCGCAAAAATGTTAGAAAAATTCAAGAGCGTTTTTACCCACTTGAAACCACCACTTTATCCTCCCGTAATTTAGTGTGCTATAAAATGTGTACCTAAAGTTTTTCTAAAAAATCTGAGTAAAAGGCGTGAAACAGGTTGAAATAAAAATATTTCAAAACAAACGAAGCAATCAATATACTCACCAAACTATGGGTTATATATAGTAAAATGTCGGCTTTAGTTTCAGGATTTTTCTCAATTTATTTTTTTGTTATTTATGGCCTTATAACAATTATATTCCACAATTTTATTTTCATGAAAACTATGGTGGAAAAACAATGATAACACAGGCCTACAAAATTTAAAAAAAGTTCAGACCCTGGGACTAGCTTATACTTTTCAACAATTCAAGAATAGCTCTCTTTTTTAGAAAATTTAATAAACCATTTGAAGGTAAAATATTTCCCTCTTGATAATGCTATTTAACTCAACGAGATATCTTGTTTTAAACCTGAGATATTGTCCATTGAAGTTTATGAGGTTTGCGACATTACTTCTTTGCACAAATGCTTGAAAGATACAACACGAAAAGAAACAGATTTGTGGTATACGTTTAGGCGTCTTTATTTACATAATGAATTTATGTGTATATTATCATGTACATTAGGGCGGGTCAATTTGTATGGATCGATTTTTTCGTCATTGTTCCATATTCGGATTCTTCATAAAATTCTAAGAAAAAAATTCCTCCAGACCATAGTTCTAAAGTCAATTTCGAGCCTGCGCATTTTTAAAAGAAGATATCTTATATATAAAAATGAATTGCTGTCCGTTAGCCTCGCTAAGACTCGAAAACGGCTTGACCGATTTGAATATTTTTATTTTTTTGGTTTGTTTTTTATAATATCCGGATGGTTAAAACCAGAAAAAAGTAGAGAGCTGCCACCTGTTTAAAAAGTTCAGTATAAGTAAATTAATGACATAAATTAGATATGGCAATATGGGTGTAAAAAGAAAGAGGTAATTAAGGCTTACAAGCGAAAATATTTTTGAGGGGGGTTGCCACCTGTTTCAAAATTTAATTAAATTAAATTGGTAAGATAAATATTGCAATAAGGGTATCAAATTAAAAAGGTTTAAGAAGGCTTACTACTGAAAATATTTTTGAGTCGAGTTGCGACCAATTTCGAAAATTTAATTCAATTAAGTCAATAAGATGAAGTATGTATGTATAGGTGTCAAACGAAAAGTATTTGAAAAATTATTGATTAAGAAATATTTTCTATAGGCCTGCCACCTACCTGAGCGGTAAAAACTAAAAGCCATACTCGCAAATATTATTCAAAGCTTTTGAGGCTCGCATCAATGTGGAATACTGTAACTCCATTAAGTTAGTGTTTATTGATGGCAAACAAAGTACTATCCTGTTTGGCAATGATATCACTCCGTAGAACAATGCACTTAGCCTCTAAATAAAAAGAGAACAAAAGCCGAAGTATTAGCCGAAGCAGTTCATACAAATATCCCACAATTGAACTAACAAAAAAATATGGCCTATGACTTCTTTATAGAAGCTGTTTACACTGGAGTAAATTTTAAACAAAAAACAAAACCGACTTCAATTCTCATATACGTTTAAGAGTACCGTTATTTTCTTCGTGGCCCAATTATCGGATCTACACTCAATTAGTAGGAGACTACCTCTGAGGAACCACCTTTCCTTTAAAAAAGAATTATAGAAAACGGATAACGTAGTCCAAAGTTATGCGGTAACATGCATAAAAAAGTATTCCGACGAATTAATAAAATATCCAGATTAATATTTAATAAAGTGTTAGGATATATTTTTTTTAATACAAACCTGTGCTTGGGAGTTTATTGATACGAAAAATTTCTGATATCTATTTAAAGAACCGCAAGATTGTACTACAAAGCATATTACATATTTTTACTGTTGTAACGGGAGAAGTTACTGTATGTATTTTTTATATGTACAGTGTCGAACAAAAGTTTTGGCACAGCGAATTTCCGCATTACATATATGCAAAGCTTTTAATTTATTTCCGATAATTTTTTATAAAAACATAGTTCATACTACACCAAAACACACAAAAATCAAATGTGTAAACTTTGTGCAAAACTCAGGAAAATTCAATAAATCTGCATACAAATTTGCAATTTTATATTCAGATTTTCAAGCAACTTCAAACTTGCACTTTGATAAACTAAAATGAAGGGATTATTAAACTGCATACTGCACACTGTGCCAATACATTTCGCCGTTACTGTAAGTAAATAAAACTTTAACTTTAAAAAACCAAAAAATAATAATTAAATTTTACAATATATCAAAATTATTTTTCGAATCATACATTTTTTTATGTATGTATGTATTTATATATTTTTTTGGTTTTAGAACCTTTTTGCTTTCAACTCGAGGTATCCTTTTTCTACTTTCTATTCTCATAGCCATAACTCCCTCTCTATTTTTATCAATCAATCAATCAACTTTATAGTTTTTTTTTCGGCATTTTTCCTAATTACAAGTAGAGCTTTATAAAACTTTTATAACACTAAATGTTTATTAAGCTTAGGATTTTGTGTTATCCGAGCAGGCTTATTAATTTAACCAGAGAAAATATTTTGTTTATTAAGTTTACCCAGTTACCCATTTTAAACTGCTACCTGTACTGTATCAGCGGTTAAAACTTGTTAAAATCGTATTTAAAGTTTTCGGTATATATGTATATGAAAGAATACACACATGCGACGACTCTAGCCATTGTGTGCCTCTCCTTTAAATTATAGTTACTCTTTTCTTATTGTATTAAAAAAATAACGTCCGTAACACTTTAGTAAATATTAATCCGTATATTAACTTAAGTAGTATATATTAAAGAATAGAAGATGACCCGGTGAACTTCATATCATCTATAATTTATTTGAATTTCACCTTGATCAATTATAACAAATCTTCAAAATGTAATACAATGAGATCACTAATACTGCCTGCTGTTATAGCTGATAAAAGATTCCACACCTATGAGATGTGCCACGCCCCTTTTCACAAACTCATTTATATGCATATATCTTTCCATAAGCACCTACCATAGGTAACTGTGCATTTAAAATTTCGAGTTCATGTGACTATAATTCCGAAGTTAGAGCTGACTAAAAATTTTCGCTATGGGAGGTATCCCCCATCCCCTTCCCACCCCTCCTTGGCGAGTTCCAATTTTTTTACCCTATTATAGATCCAGGAGACATGGAAATATTTGGCAAAATGTTATTCGATTCTTTCCATCCGTTTAGGCTGCAACCTGGCACATACATACTTACATACTTCCACAAATATATAGTAGATTTGCATTGAAGCGCCATCTTGCGGTTCTTTAAATAAAAAATAGATATCAGAAATGAATTTTTCATATCACAAAACTCCGGAGCACAACTCTTTATTACAAAATCAAAACATTCCTAACACTTTAGTAAATATTAATCTGATTATGGACTTAGTATTAATTAAAGATATTTTGTTTTAAAATTGCGCAGGCTCGAAATTGATTTTAGAGCTATGGTCTAAAGGGCTTTTTTTCTTAGAATTTCATGTAGAATCCGAATCTGATAGGAACGATGTCGAAAAAAAAATTAACCCGCCCTAATGTACATATATTATATATCATGTATATCATATATATATCATGTATATCATATATATATCATGTATATTATATGTATAATATCATTTAAAATTCCGAGGGAATTTCTCATGCATTCATTTCGAAATAAGTTTTCTCTGTGCCCGCGCACTTATACACATACATTCATTATGCAAATAAAGACGCCTAAACGTATACCACAAATCTGTTTCTTTTCATGTTGTGTTTATTAAATTTTCTAAAAAAACGATATATTCTTGATGTAAATACATGACGAATATAGCAAAAAGTCGGGGTTTTCGCATGTTTAGGCTCAAATATCTCGAAAACCTGAGCCAATCGAGCAAAACTGATTCTGGATTCAGATTCAGCGCATCAAAAACCTTTGAAAAATTTCGGCCTGTGTTATAGTTGGTGTTTAGCTGGTAAGTATAGTTTCGGAAACTTTCATCTTCAACTATAGACAATGGTTGCAAATCTACACAGATCATATTAACTAGTTCTCTGTTCGCATTCCTTGAATTCACCTGTACAACCTTTTTTGATAAAAATGTCATCTGTAACGGTCTTCTACGACTTTGAGCACCTTCACCTTGATCTCGGTCCCCATTTTCATTATCCATCCTTGCTTCTAGTG